TCAGGTTAAATGAAGTAGGAGATGGGAATGAGAAAGATCAAGAAAAGGAGGAGATCCCTATATTGAATGAAAAAGAACAAGAGGAATTACTAAAACATGGTGCAGTCCAAAATGGAAAAGGAGAATGGAGGATGCCAGACGGTAGACAAGTATTAAACAAGGCATTAACCAGAAAGATATTAGAGGACCTACATGCCTCAACCCATTGGGGTACTCAAGCTTTACACGATCACTTTATGAGAACTTATGTGTGTACTGGGGTGTGGGAAATTGCCAAGATAATAACTCGAGAATGCATAGTATGTCAGAAGATAAATAGAAAAGTAATGAGAAAATTACCTCAAGGAGGTAGAGAATTAGCAAAAAGGCCATTTCAATGTGTACAGATAGACTTTACAGAATTACCACAAGTACAGAGATATAAGTATTTACTGGTGATAATAGATCATCTAACTCATTGGGTGGAAGCGTACCCAACCACAAGAGCAACGGCCGAGACTGTAAGTAAAACTTTATTAGAACAAATCATACCCCGATATGGAATGATTAATACTATTGACTCTGATAGAGGTCCTCATTTTACCGCCAAGATATTACAACAAATAACAGAGGCCTTGAATATCATCTGGAGATTTCATACCCCATGGAGACCTCAAAGTTCCGGAAGAGTAGAGAGAATGAACCAGACTCTTAAGATAACTCTCACAAAATTAACAGAAGAAACAAAAATGAATTGGTTAAGATGTCTCCCTCTGGCATTATTGAGAATAAGGACAAAACCAAGGGCAGATATAGGAATTTCCCCATATGAGATGATGTTTGGTTTACCTTTCTTAACTACTGCAGGTAATATGGGAACCTATGAAGAACGAGAATTAGGTGTGAGAAAATATATAAAGACCATAACCTGCGCTTTAGAGGAATTAAGGAGCAAGGGATACCTTCCTCAAACTACTCCTATTGATTTTAAAATTCACAAATTCCAGCCTGGTGACTGGGTGTTAATTAAGACCTGCAAAGAACAACCACTAACTCCAAAATGGGAAGGTCCATTTCAAGTTTTACTCATCACGGAAACAGCCATTAGGACGCAAGAACGAGGATGGACACATGTCACCAGAGTAAAAGGGCCGGTTTCTGCTCCTGAGGGATGATCATTACATTTATTTCCATTACAGATAAATTAAAGAAGACATCAGGAATTCCATAAGAGCCACATAAGTTATAAGTTATAATAAGAACTCTGTTAGATTTATTATAAGATATTCAATTGAAGTTTTTAACATTCTTTTAACTCAAGGAGATGGTATTTATACATGAAGTGATATTATATGAATTATCAAAACCATGTTTTAATATTCCCTGCTACTGATCCAGTGATCTGAGAAGCGATAGAGCATTCTCCCACGCACCTAGCAATCTGGCTCTAAAAGAAAGAACACGTTGATACAAAAGGGGAAGTAGACTCCTGCAACAGTAACTGGTAAGAACAGCACTAGTAAGGAAAGAGAAGAGAAAGGGGGGGCAAGACCGGATCACGATATCCTCTTACCAACAAGAATCGCTGATCCTCTACGGAGAAGAGACATTGAAAGGGAGAGTAGCCTGTACCGGACCCCCAGTTCTATTGATCCTCCTACTTATCAGCATGAATAAGGGGAGATAACAACCGTGTGAAAAGTGCTATCATCCTCTGTATGCAGGAGAGTCTCGGACAGCCGTCCTCAGAACACACTCGAATCCGAGCCCCAATTGTATCAACTTTTTATCGTTAACCACATGTATAGAGGGCGGCAGAGTGTATTGGCAATTCAAAAATATAGGGAATTTTTAAACAGAACTTGTTGGGGGAATGCCCTATGAAAGAAAAATGGATCAGAAAGGAAATCAATTAAGGGAGAAGTAATTCATGTGGCTTATGAAACAGATTTACCAGACATTGAGACAACTATACATGATGAAGAGGAAACATGTTAACAAACTGATTAAAAGACTGGTCAAGAGAGTAATTGAATAACTGTCAAGAGATTGATGCGGGCTAAAGCCCGATCAAAGTTTTAGAGGGGGGAGTTGTTATAGGTAAAAGTTAAGTTAATTTAAAATAGGATAGAGTTCAATTATATTGTAATTATTATGTTATATTATTTGTATTATGTTAAAGGGGAGGGGCTTATTGGAATGGGCTAGAAGGGTCCAGGGTTTGGTGAAACAGGAGTCTGATGGGGCAAGGCAAGGTCGAAGAGAGATTGGATGAAATATCTGACCAATCATTCGAAGCCCTGCAGAAACGATTGGTCCAGAATGAATGGCGGTAAAGACCAATGAGAAGCCTGGAAATGGACCAATCATCATGAGGATCCAAAATGCGCCAATCCTGGACCCGGGGGGGCCTATAAACGTGGGGAGATCGTTTGGGTCGGGGTTCTTCTTATTTTGGGGCACCTGTTGTTTGGGAGAACCCAGTGCACTTGGGGTGAGCGCACTGTTTTCGTTTTTAGTTCGCTGTGTGGGTGCCTGGGCTTATCCTGGGCACTCCGTTCCTTGTAGCTATTTTAATAAACGAGAACCTCTTTCTCTGGAGAAAGTTTGGCCTCGTTCATATCCGTAACATGCCACGTCCGGCCTAACGGTGACGCTTGCCCCATCTCTGGGTCAAGAAACAAGTCTTGTCTAACTGGTAACTTTTCAACAGCTGAGAAAGAAATTAGTACCTGGACATGCAGGTTTCTGAAGGGAGGAAAGAAAAGTGTTGACAAGAATAAAGCTAAGTTTTAAATGCCTGAAACACTCAAACATGACATGTTGTGGGATAGTGTACCATATGTTAGACAGAGGCAAAACAAACCACAACTCATTAGTATCTGGACTTCATTGCCCACTATGCTTAGAAATGTTGCTTGAAGGCACTTTGTGTCAAGGATCCAGTTCCTGTAGATGACTGTCGACATAGATCAAAATCCTACCAACAAATCAGTGTCAAAACCAGCAAGAGGGAGACTTTTGTCCTTGGCAGTAGCTTCCAGGTGCTGCTGGAAGTCACCAGGCCTAGACACAAAGATGTGTATTCAACGGAGGCAGAGAAGCATCATGCTTAGATCTAAATGTGACCTTTGCTAGCAGATCATACTAGCAGCTACTAAATTACATTTCTTCTGCTCTTAGCCAGAGCCAAGATGGGAATCAAAGTCTAGATCACAGGAGAAGATCACACGAGCCTCAGCTTTTCCAGAAGAGGAAAACAACAAAGGATAGTAAATTTGCGTCGCGTTTACAGGCTATTTTTGCAGATCGATAGACAAGGGATGAAGCTTAAAAGATGAGAGCAAAGGAAAACCAACAGATGTGCTGAAAGGGAGTGAAGAGGAAGGAGACCTCAAATTAACTGAAAAGCTGCACAGAAAGCTTCTCTACTTTGTGCACTTGCCTCAAGTTTTAAATGGCAAAATCTAGGAGTATTTCCAACTTAGTTTTATTAATTCTAGAAGAAAGACAATCAAAACGGTGTGCTTCTGCTTACAGTATGAAGTAAAGCACAGGAAGCCATTAGAGTAAGAAAACTTGTGTTCAGAAGGCTGAGGCAGCCTTAGGGGTAGGAGGCATGGGGAGGCATGGAACTCAGGCCTGTGGGCAACCTTCAAGGAGCACCCAGGCCCTGAGCAGTCCCTAACAGTGCGTATGCCAGCAGATGGAGGCGAAGCGGAGCCCCAGCTCGGTGGGAAAAGGGCCGGGGTGGGGAGCCGTGCTCAGCAGGGGCTCCTGCATCAAATTGCTCAAAGACAGGCGTGCTATGGTGTGCGCATGTTTCCAACACCTGGCAACAGCAGGCTGGCCCAGATGTGGGAAAAGGCCAAGGAGGCAGCAGAGTGGGAATGGGGCTCTGCAGGAGGCCCGGGCGGTTGCACACCCCTGTGGGGGATGAGGCTGGCCCAGAGGGTCCCTGGGGGTCTGGGGTCAAAAGGGGGGAGAAGAGAAGCAGGGAGGAAATGCCAGATGCCGCTGTGAGAATGCCATTCCATCCCACAGGTGACATAGTGAGAGGAGGGTGGCAACAAAATGGTGATTGCTGCTGATCAGCCTGACATCTTCAAGACAAGAGGCCCAGAAAGGACTGCACATCTGCCTCCTAGTGTTGTCCTGAATGGGAGCTCAATACCCGGTGTTCATTACCTGTAGGTCTCTCAGTTTCCCGCAGGCATGCCACACTTGCGGTAAGCAAAGCTGCTTACCTCCCTATGTTCTTTGGGCCTCTGAAAGGGACTGTCCACTTAGCTACAGCCTGGCAAGGAAGGGAGTCTTACCACACTCTGGATATTTTCGACTTTTATTGACACTCGGGCTGAAACAAAGTATCCCCTTGCTGCTTCTCCATCTTCAGCATTCTGTCCTGCAGGTGGCCTGCTCAGGCTGACAGCTTGGAGCGCCTGCAGGCTCCAGTTCTGCTGCAGCCCAGCTTTTCCTCTCACTGCCTAATTCTTATTATGACAATTCTTTCATTTCTACTTCAAAGCTTCCCTAAATTAACAACACTCTATCCTAAGCTAAACAATCCTCTACTATCCAAGCTCTCTACGTTCTATAGTCCTTAAAAGTTGATCCCTACATCTCCTAATTTTTTTAAACTTTCATCTTTTGCAGAAAGAAAAACAACAGAGCTTTAAATTGAACCTAACAACATATCTAACCCAACCTAACCTAACCTAACCTAACCTAACCTAACCTAACCTAACAGCTAACCTAACAGCTAACCTAACAGCTAACCTAAGAGCTAAACTGAGCAAATATCTACACTATCATGTTTCCTCTCTACAGCACAGCTCCTCTTCAAACTCGGGGGATGGCTGAAGCTTGGCCTAAGGATGACACATCATCTTTTCCCCCCTCTTGGCTGTCGGGGCATCAGGGCCTCCTCAGGCGCAGGTGTCTCCTCTCCAGTCTTCCTGCACTCGCTTGGCTGAGATGATCAGAGCAGCCAGGCTGGAGGCAGGATCGCCTGAGGTCACAAAGGGATGCTGCCCAGAAGAAAAAGAACAAAGAAAGGAACTCTTACTTTCCAGGATCACATCCTCGCGGGCTCAAGCAGGATTCCCTGGCTACCAGCAAGACACACATCAAGAACCGAAGGCAGCATGTCCCCCTGTTGCGCCTTCCTGTCCAGGCAGCTTTCTGTGCCCCGTGGCCCACACTCCTCCTCCTCATCCCTTCATGCAGGTGTCCTCAGCTGCCAGGCCTTTTTGCCCCTTTGCTTTTCCTTACCTGTAGGAGCTCCTGGGCAGACCAGCGCCTGTCCTCATCTGCCTGCAGGCAGCAGCGGAGGAAGTCGCGCAGGAGAGCCGAGTGGTGCCTGGGGTTCTGCAGTTTTGGGGGCCCGTTCCTTTCTAGCAGTTCAAAAACCTACAGCACATGGATGCAAGAGGACACTCCACCTGCTCCTTTGCTAGCCACACACAGCTCTCTCCACACAGAGCCCTCTTGCTAAGCTGCACCTTACCCGGAGACGGGCTTCCCGCTGGTAAGGAGCTTCCCCTTCCACCATTTCCAGCCCCATGATCCCCAGGGACCAGATGTCCACTTTGGGGCCGTAGGCTTCTCCTCTCACCACCTCCGGTGCCATCCAGCTGGGAGTGCCGACGCTGGAGCTGCGCTTGCTGTGCTCAGGGCTGAGCTGAGCACAGAGGCCAAAGTCACCTGAGGACAAAAACAAAGCCTGTCAAAGCCAGCTACCACTGGCAAAGCGGCCAAAACCATTGCCCACTCCAAGCCTGACCAGGCCATGCTGAATCTAGCTGAAAAAGCAGCTGAGCTCTCCTTCCACGTGCCTGGAGCCAGGCAAATAAGGCATCGGCCGCTTCAAAAACACCCTGACGATTCACGCACTGGCCAAGCCGCGCTTCTGCCCCAGTGGCCGTCACCAAAATGCAAGCGCACGGCATATGCTGGACATGCTGCAGCCCAGCAGGGACACCCACCCAACTTGACGGATCCGTCCGTGCTCACAAGGACGTTGCAACTTTTGATGTCTCTGTGGATGACTTGGCGGCAATGAAGGAAATGCAGTCCTTGCAGGCACTGAGAGAGAAGAAGGAGGGAGGGAAAGTTAACGTGCAGGATCTGATTTCATCCCACCCGCAAGGAAAGAGCTCAACGGGATTGGCGGCTTTCTCAGGGAATTGTGAGCCAGGGCGAAACATCACGCTGCTGTCATCATGAAGAGCTTGCTGCTTCAACCCTCTTGGAAGTTTTTTCTAGATTTCCAAGCAAAGGCACCTGGGCTCCCAAAAGTTCCACCGGCCTTGGGTAGGAAGCGCGTCACCTTTGGCTGGGAGGCGGCACGGTAAAGAATTTTGGGGAAGCCTAGTGGCAGCAGAAGAGGAAGCTGCTGGTGACAGCAGCACCTTCGAGCTGTTCCAGAATGCATCGCCATCCAGGCTGCAATGCTATCCTTTGAAGCTGAGGACAGCTCTTTGCCCTTAGCTTGAAATTCTGCCACCCGCATGCTGCCTTCCAGTGGCAAGCAATGTAGGACAGACAGACAGGCTCCAGGCAAACATTCCCAGGCACAGCTGAGAAGAGGAAGAAAGAGAAATTGAGCCAGTGAGCGAGCACCAAGGCCAGACAACAGACAGGATGGAAGAGTGCAAGAACAGAGCCTGAGGAGTGCGAGGGCACCGGCAGGCAGTACACTTCCCATGCTCTTTCTTCTCCTGTGTGGCATGAGAGCAGCAACAGCAGCAGCAGCAGCAAAAGAAGGGTGAGAGCAAGAAATCTCGGCTCTCCTTAAGCTCCAGCTGGCAAGCAGCATCCGGGCAGGCTTGGGCAAGCACAAGCGGGATCCCTCACCTCCCGACAGACAGCGCCTATCTGTCCTTCCTCCAGGTACACTGCCCTCAGCACATCAAACAAGGTGCCGCCGTCCATGAACTCCATGGCCAGCCAGAGCTCCGCATCCACCAGGTAGCTGAAAGAAGAAAACTACGGCATGGAGAAACAGAATGGGCACAGCCTCAGTCACCCCAGGGCCTGAGCCAGGTTTTTGCAGCTGCTCTCCAAGCTACGTGGGCCACAAGAGACTATTGAACAGCAGCTCCACCTCCTCCCACGCTCTGGAGACCAGCAGAGAAATCATCCCCAGCTCTGTTCTCTGCCAGTGACCAAAGGGCATCGTCTCTTTGCGCTTGCACCAGCTAAAGCTACATTGACACCAGAATATGCCAACCTGTCTAAGTAGGTAACGATATTGGGACTCCTGTTGTCCCTCATGGCCAGGATTTCATTGGCAGCCAGCTCCTCGGACATCTCCTCCTCGAGTGACATGATCTTGATTGCCACCTGCAATGACATTGGCCACCGGTACCTTGAGAAGACGCACCCTGCTCGAGATCACAAGGAGCATGGAGCGAGTGCTGGTGCAATGAGGCAGCACGCTGGGCCAAAGCGCCTTGTCACTAGACAGCAGAGCTTAGCAGAAGCACCAAAGGCCAGCCCAAATGCATTCTGCCCCCTGAGCCTAGACTGCATTTCAGAGGAACAGCCTCTGCTGCAGACATGGAGCTGCCACCCAAACCTCCAAGCAGAGCTCACAGCAGCGGGCAAAGCGCTCCAGAGCTGCAAAATGGCATGGGGCTGTTGGCACTTTACCTGTTGTCCGCTGCTGGTGTCAAGGGCTTTATAAACAGCTCCAAACCCCCTAGAAAGACAAAAGCAGCAGAAAGACGCCTTTATCCCTTTGGCAGTGAAAGCAAGCCCAGGCAGCAGATCTCCCCAGGCTGCCTGGACGCCTTCCTCAGAAAAAATGCCTGGCTGCAGCATCTCTTCTGCCAACGGCACCTCAGCCCGTCAGCCCTCTGCCATGCGGCGCAGGCTGTCCGAGGGAACACTAAGGTGCAGCATGAAGACCAAGGGCCGCTGGAAATCTCCAAGGCGCACGCCCTGCCAGGTCATTTCACAACCTAAGGGGAACTCTCTCCTTGTGCGGGTGTGCATGCATGTGTGTGTCAAAAAAGGGAGAACAATTTGAGTCAGAAGACCGTCCTTGACAATCTGACCTTTCTAGGATGGCAAGGTGCTCTTTCAGGCCCGAAAGCTGCAGGGGCAGGGGTTTTCCCAGCTCCTGCTCCTCACTGCTGCAAGCAAGACACTGCCAGCATCAACTTGTCTTTGATGAGGCCTTTGGATTGCTCTGACCGAGCAGTCCGGGCAGGCCACACGAGGTCAAGCCAGAGCCTGACCATGATTGGGGCTTGCCTGACTTCACGCTTGATATTGCACCAGCCAAAGACCTGGCCCACACTTTTGTAAAATGAGCTGACGTCACGCTTACCCTCGCCCGAGTTCCTCAAATGCCGTGTATTTGCCTGTTGGCTGGCCCGGACTCACGATGCTCCCTGAAAGACAAAAGCAGTGCAGGGCGCTCACTGGCACACAGAGACGCCGCTGCCCAGAGTGTCCCAAAGGCAGCCCCACTGCCCGCAGCTCTGGGCCCTTTGCGGTCCCTTGGCTTCCAGCTGCTGAGACCAGCAAGTGGGAGGGCCATCTTCTCCACCTTTCATCAGGTGGCCTTTCCAAGAAGGCCTTGATTTCTTTCAAGAGCAGCATCCCACGCGATAAGCCAAAATGATGAGCCCTTAAGAAGGGGGCCCTAAGAGGTAAACCAGGGCCTTTGCAGCCTCCGCAGTCACACCCACCATCACTGGCGGGTCCACTGCCAGGGGCACAAAGTGTCTGGGCCGGAGGAGGAGTAAGAACCAGAGCCAGAAAACAGCTGGGGCCAGACAGCTGCCTGGGCAATAGTCACTTGCTAGGTGCCAGCCTTCTGCTCAAGCAGAAACAATCTCTGCTTTTGTCTTTGGCGCCGAGGGCAGCCGAGGCAGGGCCAAGGCAGGCCCAGCCGCCCTCACAGGCAGCAGGGACTCCCTGAGCGCTGCCGCGCTGCCTCAGAGCACAACAACACCTTCTGCAGAGAGGCCTAAGTGCCTCTGAGACCGAGGGGCAGCATCTGGCGCAGCCTATACCCAGACACGCGCACAACACCCTGCTCTGGCAGACAAGAAATGCACCGGACGTACTCAGTGTCTTCAGGCCCTCCCTCATCTCGGGCTGCTGGGCTGCGCTGCTGCAGGAAGTGCCGGCAGCGGGGGTTGAGCTGGCTGCTGCAGGCTACGCTGCTCCGGCGGCACCAGGCTGAATGGCAGAGCCTGTCTTGCGCTGGGACAAGAAAGGATTGCCCGTCAGAAGGGTGGCTGGCACACATGCCCCCCCTAAGCGCACGGCAAAAGCAAGGCCTTGGGAAGGTGCTGCCAGCCACGGCCAGGCCTCTCCAGCTGGGGCAGTTCCCATGTCCCCTTCTCAAAGGCACCTTCGGGAGAAGCCCAAAGGCTACTGGCATCCAGCCCCTCCCGACCACCTCCATGCTCCACGTCTTCAGCTGTTCTGCAAGACACTGGCAACAAGGTATCGATGGGGCTGCCAAGATCCACAACCAAAACACCCAATCCATAGAGCCCTATGCTACAAGGTCCCCTTAGCCAAAATGCAAAGCCCCTTCCTTGTACAAATCATCTAACCGTGACCCACCATCTTCTTTAATTCTAGCTGTCAAATCTTTCAGCTCTTGTATGCTTTTGTGGGTGGATTCAGAGTGATCAGACAGGTTCATACAACACAATCCTTCTAATTCCTCACAACCGTGTCCTTGTGCCAGTAAAAGAAAATCAATTTCTGCTCTGTTCTGTATGGTTGCATGTCTGACACCGCTAACATCAGTCATCATGTCACTAATTGCAATGGACGTAGCTCTTTCTTCTTTCTTCAGCCAACAGCCCAATCGCTATAATGGTTTCAATGCCTCACCCGAGGTAAGTGGATGCAGAAATAAATTTGATATAACTCATTTTGCAGGGCCCTAGGGTCTCAAATTGGTATTACATTTTTCTTTGTAATGATGGGCAAATCTTTTTTCTCTGTTTTTTCTCTTGATGGCTTTTTTAATGATAAATTCTGTCACAGTGAGTTGTCTGATGCTACATGGGCCACCTTTAATCTTTGAGGAATTCCCTGCCACACTCTATCTCCACAAATGAGCCAATATTCTGTTACTAATTGTCGTGGGGACTCATCTGGGTCATCTACTTGTCAGCAGCTTCATCCTTAGGGCACACTGGGGTAGTACAATTGCACCACAAACTTGAGTATCTGTCCACAGGATGATGGGGAGTAACATTTAACTGTGGATCTCCCTGGTACTGAAACACAGTAGAAAATTCCATTAGAAATGAACCAAGAATTCCAATTCTTGAGGTTCAGAAGATTCTCTAAGAAGATCAGGGGCCCAATGATGCCAGCTGGTTATGGGATTGGTCTCGTTGGAAGCCTCACACCAATATTTGTCACGACTGGGTATTGGCCATTCCTTGGCTGGCACTGGCACACTAACCAAACAGGTCACAAAGGGTTTGTCTGGGCTCGAATTGGTCAAACATGTGTTGTCTTAGCCTGCTGACTACGCTAAAGCAAGGTAAACATTCATTTTTGGTTGATCTACAGGCATATATGCACTACAAAAGCAAGCAAGCAAAACCAACAAGCGCCAGGATATCATTTGATCAAGCTCCAAGTTCCTGTTCAGCTGCTTTTTGGCAAAAGCTTCCCCATCTATTTCAGTTCTCAAGCAAATCTTGTAGCACTTGTTAAGGGACTGGCCAATTATAGAGCACTGAACTGTACCTCTAACCTTCAATTTTTACAAATTTGGATATCTTAAAATTCTTTTGAACGCAATGGACACCACGCTTTTGCTGAAAGAGCTCTATGATACAAACCCTTTTCACAGTCCAAAAATCAACAATCAAACTCAAGATTTGTAGCTTTCACAGGTTGAACAGGGAATGTCTGGCATGAACCGTAGTTTCTTTGTGCGGCTCATGTCTGCGTGCTCATTTCCCTGCTGGTGGAAATGTCGGTGCGCTCTTGTGTATGAGACGGTTTCACGTCCTTCGCGGGGACCCACTTAGGTCTGGCACCTGTGCAAATAAATACAAGCATACCGTTTGCCCCAAGTGATTAGTGCAAATGGTCCTTCAATTTGTCCTAACTCAAGGTTTCTGATCAAAATTGAAGAAGTCTCTTTCAATTTTGCCTGTGTGCTGTTGGAAAAGTGCCTAAAAATTGGAGGATTAGGTCCTGCAAATGAGCTATTCAAAACATAAAGACATCTAAAGCTTTGCTCAACCTCATCTGGGGTGTTGCTTGGGCCACTCCCCATTTTGTTGATCTAGAATGTGTTTTAGAGTGTGGTGTGTCCTTTCAACAACTGCCTGACCTGGGTAGGAATGGGGAATTCCAAAAGTGTGGCAAACAACCCAGTCCATCAAAAACGTGGCCAATTTTTGAGCTGTGTATGTGGGGCCATTTGTTGGTTTTTACCTCGTGGGGGATCAGTCTGGCGAGCTCTGGACCACAGTGACACTGTCAAGGACAAAAGCAAAAGACGAGAGGTGCTCTTTCTTCTCGGGACCAAAGTCCCACTGCTTTAATGAAGAACGACTCCAGAAGAGAAAGAGAGCATCCAGGAGAGGAAAGAGGATGTCCTGGAGAGGAAACAGAGCATCCACCTCATGGCAGGAGATTTTAAATCCTGGTGGAGGGGGAGCAGTAGAAAGGAACTACCATAGCTCAACATGTTAAATCACCACACTGTAGTTTTCTGCATAAATTGGTGCACTTGATGCAAACAAAATCCTAAAATCTCCCCAAACACAACCGTACAGTCCAAAATGACCACAATGAGGGAGAAAAACTACTCAACCCCCCTGTATACCCAAGCACCAGGTGTCACAGGGAGTACTAACCCCTGCAATTACAAAGTCCACACACACAAGCTCACCAGGAAAGGAGTATCTCTATGAGGGGACAGAGTGCTCGCTTTTCTCAACACAACACACACCATAAATCACAACAGCATCCACTCACATTATCTTCCTCAAACATTCACACACTGAAAACACAACCACAATTACAGCACACAGGAAAAATTACAGCAATAAACCAGGATTTGCTCAATTCACCCCTAGAATTGCTAGCAGGTCCTTATTGACACAGCAAATCCTTTCTGCCAGCAGCCAGACCCAAACCCAAACTGTACAGGCGTACGTTGTGCACAGGACATCTCTGTGTGACTTATGAACCACCCTTCCCCTGCGTACACCTTACAGGTTACTTTATACAGAGTTAAACATTCCCTTTCTCCACAGTCCCAGCAGTCTTGTCTGTCCCCCACGAGGAACAGCCGAGAGAGGAGGTGCCTCCAGGAAAGGAATGTCCTGGCAGCGCCCAGAGACATCCACAGCACGGTTGTTCTCGCTGGAGCAGAGAAGCCTTCCTGCCACGGTCACCAAATGAAGTGTGGAATAGAACTCACCACATTTAAAGTTAGAAGGTGGTGTGTTTATTACAGCAACAGGCACACGAGGAGTTGTCTCCTAAAGACGTGTGAAGAATCGCTGTCTCTCTGCTTTTCTAAAATGTCTTACATATCCATATAATTCCCAAAAAACTAACACACATTCATTAGGTAACACTGCCTACCCCCCTTTGTATTAAAATGTATTATAATTGAGTCCAAAGTTCCTTTGCTTTCTGCAGTCTTTCACTTCAAATGGGTTGGTGGGTTTTAAAGTGGGGAATGGTCTCCTTCTGATGAAGACCAAGACGTCTTCCTCAATTTGACCTCTTTACTTATGACCTGTTGGCAGGCTTTCGCACCCTTTGGCTATAGCTGAAGTTTCGGGGCCCAGGTACAGGCTACCTGCCCAGGTGCAGGTCCTCTTCTTTGTCACAAAGAAATCTGCATCCCATCCTGCTTCTTTAAACATAGTAAAGACAGGCAAGTGATATATTACCCTTGCCTTAACTACGTTACCTGCAAAACATTAATTATCCCCTTTTGTTTCTACTCTTCTTGCTATATTCTTTCCCCCTAACTAAATCTTGCTAAAATTTTAACTCTCCCAGTTCTTTTAAATCCTTGATTCATTGGCCTCATCTCAACCGCCAGCCATGTGTGAGCCAATGCAGTAACTGGGAAATTCCACTCCTGAGCAGGAGACATAAGGCCTGGTTCTGAGCTGGAAGGGTGAGAAGGATGAGATGCACAGCGTTTTCATCCAGGGGATGTCCTGAAAGTGCACTGCCTACCTGCCCCTGCTGCAGACAACCACGCTCCACCTCCTTCTACTGCTCAGTGTTTTTTGAGGAATCCAGGGGTTGGTATGTATTATTTGCTACTGCAACTAATAGAATGAATTTGCTTTGCAAGTTCTGTTTTGTCCTGGGTTATTTTGTGCAGGGGTCTTCTTCTGAGCCTTGACAAAAACCAGAAT